ATTATCATTATTATTATATCATCATTATCATTTATCACCGGCACCTGAAGCGAAGCAACTCATCTTCTCATAAGCCGGCATTTCATCTGCTCCTCAGTGTTTTCTTAAATGATCGTGTTCATTTCAGCGTCCTAAAAAATACATGTAGCCATTTAGAAATGCCTTTTCTCTTGGTGTGTGTGTGTGTGTGTAGTTCCATTACATGGTGTACTGACCCTTTCTGTTTTCTCTTATTTCTCTTCTCAGACTAAAGCAGTGGGACAAAAACTTCCTCCAACCACTTTCAGCTTCAACCATACCCAGTGTATCCTGTATGCGCTGGGTGTCGGCATGTCCACCAAGGACCCAGACCATCTGAGGTGTGATTCTGCATGTGTTTGTGTTATTGACTGTAGTTTCCTCAGTAGTTGTAAAAAGGCAAATTACATGAAATTAGACAGAAAATAATGCTAATCATGGCTTCAATCATTACTGTTACCTTGACCTGCATGGAGGGGGGAAAAATGCGCTGGATTCCATCCACGCTGAAACGCCTGTGCAGCCATCTGTGCTGTTATTTTTATCTGTCAGCAACCTTTTCCTACAGAGGTATGCTGTTTCACTGAGCACTAACACTTGCATTTTAATGTAGGTTCCTGTATGAAGGCCATCCGGACTTCAGCTGCCTCCCCACCTTCGGGGTCATTTCCTCCCAGGCAGCTATGATGGGTGGTGGTCTGAGCTCAGTCCCTGGACTCAACATAGATTTTACCCAGGTTAGAAAACGTGCATGTTGATGTCTGCCGTGTCTGTATTTGTCCTTGTGTGCAGCTGAGTTTGACTTTTTTTGTTGTTGTACGTACATGTTCGTATCGTACGGGATGCTTTTAATTATGCTAATGCATCCCATCGGCGGTTACGCTTGCATCTCTTTGTCGCGTCTTTGCGGCGAGAACGTGAGGGAGCGATACAAGGACGGATAAGCCGGAGCTGCCGAATGAGAAATGCTTAACACCCCAACATCAGTCTTAAGCGATGTCAGTTAGTTGTGATGTGCCAAACAGCTTAATCACCTGGCCTTTTATATATTTAGATTCCTAACTTTGTTAATGGAGCTGATGATTTATCATCTTCGTCCTATTAGCAGCACCACTCACTGGCGTTTGTTCTTTCTTTGCATTGTTTGCACAATAACGCGCCACATAGCTGTCGACAAATGTGTGTATGTTTTAAAAACAAACTGCTGCTTTGTGAGACGCTTCAACACATTAGCGTTAAGTTATCCCATATATTCAAATGTGTTGTCACACACGGGGTGATGGCACATTGTTTGCATCTCACCGTCTGACTGTGTTCTGTTTTATTATCTGTTGATCCATATGCACAAACACTACAAAGTAAGCGCTGTAAGAATCAACTGTCACACGGAGGTGAGGAGTTTATGCATCACGCCGCTTGATTATAAAAGCTCTTAGTTCCTCCAGAAGCTTCCTCTCTAGTTTCCTCAAGGCAAATTCATGGATTTAAAAGATCATGGCAGAGAGAGGGGGCGGGGGGAGTGACAGTTTCTGAGTTTTGGGAGGAGAGGAAATACGAGGAAGCACAAGCTGGCATTAAAGAGAGGAGGAAAAAAGCACCCCTGTTATAACACTTTACAAAGTCTTGCTTAAAACAGTAACTGAGGCTTTTATGACTTTTATAATTATATGTCGCAACTGCTATATGCATTTTTCTTTTTGTTTGTTTGTTTTTTAGGTGTTGCATGGAGAGCAGTACTTGGAGCTTTACAAACCTCTGCCAACTTCAGGTATTTTCCCTTTGATAATTCTGCAGAAAGCATTTTTTTTTTAATTGCTGGAGAAATTCTGGGAGATGAAGCAGCTTGTTTACAGCTGCTGACTCTGGCAGCTGCCGCTGCTGCCTTCTTGCAGGACTTGCTCACAGCTGCGATGGCGGGCTCTCTGTCCTTGCAGCTGGCTTGCAGCTCTCGAAACTGGCAGCGGCGTGGAGCTTTGACCTGCCGAGGGTTGGGAGCATGTTTGTAGCTGAATGTGCATAAGAGACGGAGCGTGAACGTTGTGTACGGTTGTTGTTTTTTGGGTTTTTTTGTAACTTGGCATTTCTGATCATGTGAGGCATTTTGCCGTAGGCCAGATGTGTCCATTCTGTAGCTTTTACAGTTGTTACAGTCTCATTACAAAATATTATTAGATTCAGTTATTTTGGCCATGCCTGCAAATGTTTGTGTGATGTAAAAAAAGCTCAAGGTTGTCCAGACATGGAATCTACAAAGTTTGGTTAAAAACTTCATGAAACGTTAAAACAAAACGTGTCAATCTGCCCACTGAATCCATAAAAGACTGAAAACTTACTGAGATTATAACTAAAATATTTTATAGAGGGCTTCCTTGTGGCTCCATGGTGTACTGGTTGACACATTTGCTTTTCAATAGCAAGATCCCTGGTTTTAGACTGGGAGGAAACACAGCCAGCCTTGGGGGCTCAGAAGCTAGTGTACTCCCACTGCCAGTCTCAAGCCTGACAAATAGGAGTGTTGCATCAGCATCCAGCATAAACTCTGTGCCAAATCAAACATGTGGATCCAGCCACTGTGAAAAATGAGGGAGCAGCCGGCTGTTGTTGTGAAATAGAATTGAATATCGACTCCAAACATTTATTTCTTTTAGTGTTTAAACATTTCTGTTCATTAAAAGCACCTTTAGAGCCTTTCTGTGTCACTGTAGCCTAAATCACACTGCAGTGGATAACACATTACATACAGCAAGGGACAAGTTTAGGTGTATTTACATGGATGGGTATTTTCAGTCTCTTTTTTTTTTTTTTTTATAATGCGTCTAGAAATCTAAACTCTGATATGACCGAGGTTACCTCAAAAGCATTGATACATTTTGCACGTGTCCTATAACAGGACTAATAGGATTGTGAGGAGCCCAGCTCTGCCTCATGCGTTACCATTACAGAGAACGTTTTTTGTTTTTCTTAAAGATGAATGCCTCAGAGTTTCTCACAGTAGCCGACATGTCCTTGCTTTGTACAAAGTGATCATTAAAAATATTTATTTGAAACCAGATGGTGTTTTTTCTGGTTTGATCAGTGTTGTAACACCCAAAACTCTATTTAGTTATCCATTATTTAAGACAAGGAGAAGTAGCACACCCTTGTGAGTCTTGGTGTTTTGGCTTGAAAATTGACTTTAGTAATTAACCTACTGCAGATTAACTTTCTGACTGACTAATCTGTAATTGGAGAATTGAGGATCCAGCACATGCTACAGAGAGGTTTAGAGATTTGTCTGAAGGCTTTTAGAGGACTTGGGGAAATAGTTTGTATGTTTACAAAGTATTAATTGACCTTATGTCAGGTACTTTGACTTAAAACCAGTGAGGTAATAGTTTGCAGGGCTTGGATTAAATAAATAAATAAAATACATTTTCAGGTAAACTCACCTCTGAGGCCACGATAGCAGACGTGTTGGATAAAGGATCTGGAGCCGTCATCCTCCTGGATGGTAAGGTTTCTTTTTTTCTTTTGCCATATAGGCCAAGCACGTGATATCCTTTACAGTATTTATTCCATATTCATTTGTTTTTACCACTTTAATGTGTTTCTTCCTGAGAGTTGCCTCTAAGGCTGAATTAACACGAATTAATTTACAGTCTGTGTCTGCTGGGACTGAAATATGGGACTGAGAGCGGCTCTTATTTTTGTTGGACAAATCCATAGAGATGGAGGATGTTAGAGCAACTCTGATTCATAATTAATCCAACTTAAAACAAATAGCATGGGACACAAAGTTCTCTGGAGTCTTCACAGAAACGTCTTCATGCACACAAAACCAGTCAGCTTCTGTTAGGATAAAGTCATTTCAGTAAGATGGCCTGTCACAGTCATGTCTGTTACAAACAGCTTTGTTTGTCTCTGTGCCTGTTATGCTTTGAATTGACTTAATTAAATTAATCAGGCAGCGTGTCGACTATGAAGAGGATTTGATTCCTTCTGATAGCTGCTAATTGTTCCTCTTCATTCGGCTTCCATGCGGTTATTCGTGCGCTTCCTCCTGCTCTGGCTTGTGTCTGGCTGGTTTGTTTTTACCCCTGTCTGTTTATTGTTTCAGGTAACGATATGTGCAAGTGTGTTGAATTCACCGTCGTTCAGTGTCTTTGCCACACTAGTGATGTTTGTTTAAATGTTTTAATAAGTTTCTCACTGCGTAGTAATCGTGTACTGCACAAGGATGAGTTTAGCTTTCTGAATCTCAAAGACATCTCACTTCAAAACATAAAAAGTCTTCCTGGACTGTTTTGCTGGACGTTAGTTGAACATTCAGATCTATTGATCTGCTGGGTTTTTTTTTCCACACATCTCACAAGAGAAACTATGCAGGGAGTGTCAGTTATCTGGACAAAAGTGTCTTGCTGATGTCAGATGATGGCCAGACTGCTTCAAGCTGATGGAAGAGAAACGTTAACACAAACAACTATTTGTTAAAATCGGAGGTATGCGGAAAAGCATACCTCCGATTGCACAACACTCAAGTGTTGAGTGTCACTCTAGCAAAGAGCAGGAACCTGAGGCTTGCACAGGTTCACCAAAATTGACCAGCAAAAGGTTGCCTGGTCTGAGTGTCGATTTCTTTTGCCACATTCAGATTGTTGGATCAGAATTTGGTGTAAACAACATAAAAGCATGAAGCCAATCTAGGGTGTATCATCAGTTCAGGCTGGTGGTAGTATAATGGTGTGGGGATGTTTTCTTGTCACACTTGGCAACAACTGGGCAACATTTAAATGACTTGGCCTACCTGAGGATTGTTGTTGACCATGTCCATCTTTTTATAACCAGAGTTATAAAAAGATGGTTACATCAGATCTCCTGATGTCTGCTTCCAGCAGGATAATGCAGCAAAGCTCACATCATCTAAAACTGATTTCTTGAACATGTCAATAATTTCATGACCTCCACAGTCTCATGTGGTGGAGCTGGAGATTCAGCTCTTGGATGCGCAGCACCTTGTGATACTATTATATGACCTGTATGTAATTATTTCCAGCACATGTTTGAATCCACACCACAAAGAATTGAGACAGTTTTGAAGGCAAAAATGTCCAACTTGGTTCTAGCAAGGTGTAATTAATGAATGTCTCGAATGTATGTAACACAGTTCCAAAGAAAGTTTGTATCTCAGGTCTAAATACCTCAATTATTTACATGATTAGTGACAAAGGAGCATCATAGAGTTTTACAGTAGGGGCTGGGAGTGGTGCTCTGCTGTGAGAGACTGCAAAAATAGTTAAGAAGAACAATATTTCTAATTGTAAGGTATCTACAGTATGCAATATAGTTTATAGATTTGGAGAATCTTAAGGTGTGTGTGTTTGTATGCAGAGGAAAAGACTGAAACTACTGAGTTATAAAATAATAAAAGGTTGTATTTTATTTTTTTGTGTGCAATTCATTGCAGAAGTAAAATTTTGCATGTAGGGCTTTAACATAAAGTGTAGTAATAGTAGATCATTGTGGATTTGCTTTCCCTTAAGTAAAAGGATGTGAACGCTCTCTCTGGCTCTGATATTTGTCATTAACTGCAAGAAATTGTGCTTCCTGCAGTGAATACCTACAGTGGCAACGAGCTGGTGTGCTACAACCAGTTTTCAGTGTTTGTTGTCGGCGCTGGAGGCTTCGGAGGAAAGAGAAGCTCTGAGAAAGCCAAAGTACGTTTTCTGTATACAAGCTGTTTTACTAAAGGGACAGTATAAGAAAATGTAAAAAATAAAAATGTTATCACATGTCAAGTGTTTGTTTTGTACTGCTTCCAGCCTCCTCTTCCTCCTCCTAAACGCTCACCAGATGCTGTTGTGATTGATTCGACCACAAGAGACCAAGTGAGTGAGTCTGTGTGGGTTTTGCCGCACAATAAATTAGCTGCGTTTATAATATATGGGTGATATCGTGTGGGTCTGAAATAAACGTGAAGTTTTTCAGAGAGGCAGAAGTGTTTGGGGAGGGGAGTGTGTGCTGACTGTGTGATGCAGGGGGAAAAAAAGAAGAGGAATTTAAAAACTAAATCCCTTAAGCAATTTAAAGGGCTGTGACTGTATTACTTCAAAGATATTCCTATTTTAGGTATCTCTTCCATTGCCTTCATGATAATTTAATTTCATCCCAGATCTGTGCATGAGAAGTTCAGGGGTTTATGAATTAGATATAGATCTAAACAATTTCTCTTTCCCCTGTGGTCACAGGCTGCCTTGTATCGCCTGAGTGGAGACTGGAATCCTCTTCATATAGACCCCAGCTTTGCTGCTATGGGAGGTTAGAGTCTAACATGTTGGGTTTTTAAAAAAAAAATTTGCTCAGGACTAAATCTGTCTGGTATTTTGAATGCATTTTGGTCTTATTTAAACGTGACATGTTGTACTTGACGTGCTCTCTGGTCAGGCTTCAAAGCTCCCATCCTGCATGGCCTGTGTTCGTTCGGCTTCGCTGCGAGACACGTCCTCAAGCAGTTCGCCGACAACGACCCCTCCAGGTTCAAGGCCATCAAGGTGAGCGTAACCTGTGATTTTAAACTGTGTGATCCTGCAAATGAGGCTTCCGAGTTCATGCAAGGACTACTTTCGTGATTTCAGAGAATGCCTTACGTCAGTGGTTCCTCTTTGATTTTGAGGGTGAAAAGAGCTGATGAGTGGATCGTTACTCTGGTCCACCCTCTCTCTAGATGGTTAGACAATTACTGACAGATATCATCTGAACCTGTCATTCAGGCTGTGCGCAGAGAGGCTTTCTTTAGACGAAGGAAAAAAATCATTTGATTTCGATCATCTTTGATTGAAATTGAAGTTTAATATTCCGGAGACAGAATAACCTCAATAAAAATGCAAAAGTAGACCTGCAAAATTAATATTCTGCCATAAAGTATCATCTTCATGGTCGGAAACTTTACCGAGATGTTAGACAGCGTTTAATTTTGGCCACTTGTGCAGCTGCGTCAGCTTCTTTAGACAAATTGCTTTCCAGGTTAACGTCATCCATTGCACCCGACAGCGTGACAATAGTTTAATATTCTCTTATTCATTTCCATGACGTCTCACACTTCAGTAATGGACTGATTCACATTAACACAACATTTTATAATCTAATTCTGTGTCAGATTGCTCCCTCCTTATTTCCATCACAGCATGGCTCTGCTGTAATGTGTCACTGAAGCTTCCTTCCTTTTTTTTGTTAGCTCCGCAATACCATTGACACTGTTTTTCATCTCCTGATTTCTGTCACAAGACCTTTAAGCTGTTTGATGTGAAATTCCTTTTATGCTTTGGAAATATTTATTTTGTGATGGAAGCTTATGTGCAAAAAGGAGTGAGAAGTGAAGAGTTAATATGGCTACCATCTCAGAAACCTGTATCTGCACACGGTCCGAGCACGTGACGAGTTCAGTTTAACTTCTAATGCAATCAAAATTCAGACAGACAAAAAGCAAAAGGCTGAGTGAGTGATTCAGAGTAATCTCTTAGGCTGATCCGTCAGATCCGCCACCCTTGCTCTCCTTAACCGCCCGTCTTTGCTCCTCAGGTTCGCTTTGTGAAGCCGGTGATGCCGGGTCAGTCACTGCAGACTGAGATGTGGAAGGAAGGCAACAGAGTTCACATCCAGTGCAAAGTGAGTGTCTTTAAGTTCGGCTTGGACACAATCAGAATGATTTTAGGGATGAATGGGTAAATGTTATGCTACAGTGAAGTTTCAGCTCCAGTCTCTCTCATCCAGGTGAAGGAGACCGATGCAGTCGTGCTGGCAGGAGCCTATGTGGATTTGCACGGAGCCTCAGGAGCATCTCCAGAAAATCTCTCTCAGGTACATCAGTCGGAAAATACTCCATTCAATTAACAATCGTCCCTTTTACCTAACTCTGTCCTAGAGCACCTAATGTCTTTTCATTTTTCGTATCTGTAGGTAATTTGGACAAAATGAATTTGTACTTGGGACATATCACGATAATGGATCCTGAAAATGAGAATAAACATGAGCTTTTCATATCATTTCTACTTATTCGTGCAGGGAGGTGGTCTTCAGAGTGAGCTGGTGTTTGCAGAGATCGGCCGTCGTATCAAAGACGTGGGCTCAGAGCTGGTCAAGAAGGTGAACGCTGTGTTCGGCTGGGAGATAACGAAAGATGGGAAGAAAGCGGCACAGTGGAGTAAGTCTACTGAATGCTTTGAGAATAAAAATATAACTTTAGTTCAGGTAACTACATTTGATCATCAGTATAACACAGAGTCAGTTTAATATCAGGTTGCACAGGTAGTCCAGCTCCTCCAGGGTGGCACATCTACATGTGCCGCCTCAAGAAGGTTTTCTGTCTAGTGGAGGAGAGAGCATGAGGAGAGCTGGATGGGGTTGTACTATAGTGTCAAGTTCCAGCGTTCTACAAACGACCTTCATCATGACAGTTGCACAATGGCGAGCGCAGATCCTTAAATGAAGTGTGTGCTCACAGCCGGGCACCATGCAGCAACCATTCCTTTTCTAGGGGCTGTCTGATTGGTTTACCAGTGGATCTGTTGCACCAAAGTAGTTCTCATGCAGCGGTGGTTGTATCATATTTAGAAGGTCCTGACTTATATGTGGAATAAATAAATACTACAAACATCCCGTGGACTATGTTTGCAGATTACACTGTGAATAAAAGTCTGTAAGGAAAGGTGTAACAGCGAGAGTTTAAATACCTGAGGTCAACCTTGCAAAGCAACAGACAGTGCACAAGAGGGGTGAAGATGAGAGTGGAGTGGGTGGAGACAAGTATCAGGGGTGATTTGTGACTGGAGGAGTGAAAGGGAAGGTTTCTAAGATGATAGCGAGACCTGCTATGATGTATGGTTTGGACACAGTGTCTCTGACAGAAAGACAGGAGGCGGAGTTGCAGATGTTAACATTTTTGTAAGCAGGATGGAGAAGACTAGAAATGAGTGCATCAGAGGTACAGCTAGAGACAAAGTAAGAGATGGTTTGGATGTGTGCAGAGGAGTAAATAGGGAGCTGCCAGGGAGGACGAAAAGAGGAAGACCTCAGAAGATGAATGGATGTAGAAAAGAAGGTCATGCAGAGGGCTGGTGTGAGACGGGGGGAGATGGTGCGCTAGACAACTCTTAAGGGAGCACATGAACAAAGAATAAGAAATAATAAAGATTTGAACCTTTTACATGCAACTTTTGGAAGTTGGTTCACGTATTCCAGGCGGATTTATTGTGTTGTAATTGGTCTGCTAAACATATCTAACAATTGTTTAATTGCTGCTGCTCATGTTGCTCGGTGGTTCGGAGTTCGCACATTTAAATTTCCCCAGAGAGGGTTGGGAGTGATTTTTGTGATGGATTTACAAGGCCGCAAACCTCCTGTCAGCATAAAATTGATTGTGCTGCTGCTCACTGGAGTGTCCCGTAGTAAATTTGTGCTCGACTGTCTTCCTCCTCCTTTCTTTTCTCAAAAAAAATCATATGATTGGCTCGCATACGAACCCATGAAACAAAGGTTAAGACACAGGTCACGGGTTAATCTGACCCTCACTGACATTTTGCTGTCCAGTGGACCATTAAAACCAGAAAGAGATTGGTTAATGGCTGAAGAAGAACCTCTGATGTAAACTGAAATAAGCCGTTCAGGTCAACTTTGAAGCTTTGATTTTGATTTAGGTTTTTTCTTCTGTGCCGTTTTCCTTTAGCCATTGATCTGAAGAGCGGCAGCGGGTCATTGCACAAAGGGCCTTACAGCGGAAAGGCGGATGTGACCATGACTGTGTCGGACGAAGACTTCATGGAGGTGGTGCAGGGGAAGCTCAACCCTCAGAAGGTGACTGTTGAGTCGTAATAAAACTCTGACGTGACGTTAATTAGTTGCTGTGTGAACAATGACCTTGTTTCTATTTTTTTTTTTTTTTTTTTAAATTCTGCACATTGACTCACCTGCTTCATGCTCTTTAAAGCTTCTGTGCTCACACTGGTAAATATTTTAGTTAAAGTTTACAAAAACCTGCAGAAATCCTTCTATGACCAAGTGGTTTTGTTTTTTAAAAAAGCCTCATATTTTAAATCATGTCTTCTTTGGGATGTTAAAATCACTTCTAGTACATTGTAATTAAAGGGAAAGTGCCTTTGAGGAGCCCTTCAGTCTGTAACAACTACCTCCCTGATCTCGTCATGTCAGATTTTAAAAAAAATAATGGATGCAATGATCTATCAGATCAGAAAGCTCTCGGCGGGGGTAATCAATCGGCAGTACTTGTTATGTCTGTAGCATCCCATCTGTCACTGGCGATGGCCGTCACTGTAAAGAATTTATATGCTTCCCGGAGCGCCTGATATTGATCTGAGGAACGCGTGTGCACGCTCTTAACAAAGAGTGTCATCGGGCTGGGTGCTGAAGATCCCGCGGGCGGGGTGCTTTTCCACTCTCCATCATGATGAAAAGGAGCAGCTGGAGGAAGATTAGTCGATGGGGTTGAAAGGGACACTGCTGTCATTGCAGGGTCATCATAACCCCATCATGTGATTGATTTTTTTTTTTTTTTTTTTTTAAATCTTATCTGTGGAAAGCAGTACAAGTCGGCAGTGGTTCAGTTTTTCCCAGTGAAGGCGCTTCTCTGCTGCACGCTTGGCTCCGGACCTCGTGGATATGAATAATATAATATTCTTTGATTGTTCTGCTGCCAGAGAACCGGTAGCCACAGATTCCCTTTTGTCCGAGACCTTGTTGGTGTTAGCTGCAGGCATCTTGGCCCATTTTGCTCTCTCTTTGTTCTTGAAAACGATTAACAGCCAGCCGGCTCCTAAACAGAAGAGACTGTGGCTCTTTGGGAAGAAGAAAAAAATGCTCAAGTGTTTCTTTGTTGTTTTCTTTGTTAGGCCTTCTTCTCTGGCAAGCTGAAGGTTAGAGGGAACATCATGCTGAGTCAGAAGCTGGAGGTTATCCTGAAGGACTACGCCAAGCTGTGAGCTCCTCAGCCAGCCAATCAAATGACTTCAAGAACTGACCAACCTACAAGCTCGCCTTCTCCTTCTGTGTGTGTGTGTGTGTTTACATACTTTTCCTCTGGAGGGAAACACACAAAGTGACCCTGAGAATTAATTCTGAAGTGTCACTAATCAAGTTTCAAATCAAACGTCTTTATTCTCAGCCATCATGAGGAGAAACTAATTCAGAGCACCTGGTTATTTACACCTGGGTACAGTCGGTCCTTGCTAACCTGTGCCTAATGAATCATGTAGAAAATAAACAAAGCATTTCATAAATGTAATTGCTTCACAAAGACCGTGCTCAAATGTGTCTAATGAAACGATTGCTCTTCTATTAAAAAGAACTAAATGAGAATAAAACCTCATCATTTAACACTTAAATGGCTAAAGATGTCTTGTTTTTTACTTTAATGTATCTACTGACTGTGTTTAGTGTGAATGAGAGACCTCCTGCATCTGCAGCTCTATTCGCTTCCAGCAGCTTTTTGCTTTACTTTATCTCCTTCAGCCACTTTTCCACATTTCTGATTCACTCTCAGCACTCTGTTGTTGTTGTTTTTTTGTATTTTTGGCAACCGCAGTACATAAACGCTCTACACCCCCCCACGCTCCTCGTATATGTACCTATACTCACTGGCTAAGGGGCCCCGCAGGGGAAAGCTATAAGATTGTCAGGCTGTTGGAAATGCCACTCCAAATGTCAATGTTGTGTCCAAAAATGTCAGTTATTGTAGGTTAATAAGAACTCACTGACCACTGGAGCAAACATTTTTTATGCTACAGTCCTGTTTTGTTAGTTTTTCTGGGAGGAAATGTGGGACACTGCTGCATTTCTTTGCATGTTAGCCAAACTGCCAACCATGACTCTGAGGAAGACCTGTCATATGTACAGCGCTCTGGTTTTAAAGTATAGAAAAATACCATAGTTCCTGCAGAATGACAGATTTTCTTCACAACCTTTTTTAAAACAGTATTTATCCTGTGTTTTTATCGTACAGTCATCTGGAGTTATATAAAAATTGAATGAGTGTGAATATAGACGTAAACTTCATGCTGAGACTGATTTTTGTCTGAAACGGTAACAGAACTTTTATTAAAGCATTTACAGCATCTAAACTGAATTTTAACTTCTTTTTTTCCCCTTTGTGCACCACAGCAGTGGATTTGAAACGAAGCAATCAAGATGTGATTGAAGTGCAGACTTTCAGCTTTAATTCAAGAGGTTTAGCAAAAATAAATTTCAGCCAGGTGTGGCCTGTTTCTTTCATCTTTTCTAACAAATGAAAGGATGGAAGGTCTGAAGGTAATTCTTTGAGCTGAATTTGTGTTTTGTAGCTGCTCATATTGAAACTCTCATTATGTAGATCCACAAACAAGAAGGCAAAGACTTTGGAAAATCACTAACTGAAGAATTTTAAAACATAATGCTTTGTGTAATTACTTCTTCCTCTTCTTTGTAAAAGTACCACCTAAAATAAACATGTAATTTTGCAGTTAAAATCACACATTGATTGTTCATTTCAGGTCTATTGAGGTTTTACACAGAGGCAAAAACTTGTCAGGTGGACCTTGTTGTAATTGCTATAATTACCACCAAATCTTTGTCAGAGCAAAGGTGATGTGCTTCCCCCCCCCTTTTTAAAGGAAATGAAGTGATTCAGAGTTGAAACAAAGAGTCACCACCGGCAGCTTTTTAAAAGGAAAAACTGAATTTAATGTATTTTTAGCTGGTGTTGCAGTGGTTGCTACAGTAAGGACTCCTCTTTATATGTTAGTCTTACAGTGGTGGATCCTCATTTTATATATATATATATAGTTTAATATGAGGTCAGTGTATGTGCAGTTATGCCGAGTGTGTCATATTTGATACATGCAGTTTTTGAGACTTCACTACATCACCAGTGTGACTTTTTCCCCTCTGAAAAACCAAAATAAATTGCACAACACATTAAAAAAGCCAGATGCAAATTAAAAGTCAATATGGAAGTCACATTTATTTTTTTAAACAAATTTGTCAGATGGTTTAATAAACTCACCATTAAATTAAAAAAAAAAAAAAAAAAGGATTTTCAGGCTTTAATGGGTTCAATCTTTGGTTTGTAAGAGATGGCCGATCTACGGAAGAGGATTAGGGCCACTGGAAAAAAAAAATCTGAGATAAAAGTCAGAATTCTGACTTTTTTTGTCAGAATTCTGACTTTTTCATCCAAATTATTTTTTTTCAGAATTCTGAGATAAAAGTCAGAATTCTGACTTTTTTCTCAGAATTCAGGAAAAGAAGACTGCCCACTTTCCCCCCCAAGTGGCCCTAATCCTCTTCCGTACCGATCAGACGAAAGGTCAATGTTTTAAACGTAAAGGAGCTTAATTCAAATAAACCGAGAGGTTCACCAAACAAAGCTTAAGAATATATAAGGAGCTGGAAATGGGTGTGAAAAAGTTAACCATCATTTATTAAATTCACTTTCATTCATATAGCGCCAAATCACAGTTAAAGTATTTCGTCTCGTTTAAAATGACTTAAATCATCATTAATCATTCCCCATTCTGATGCTTAATTTGAACTTCAGCAGGTCATCGTTGCCATGTCTGTATACCTAAATGGATCGACTCGCTGCCGTACGATTGGCTGATTAGATCAATATGCAGATTAACAGGTGTAACTAAGTGAAAACAGATATGATTGTGTATTGCAATGCTCTGACATCACAGAACACATCTGCTCGTGTTATACAATTCTTTTATTACATCAGTACATTTTCCTGTTTATAATACACTGATTTATACAATATCTCTACTATAAAATTAGAATAATCTGATCAAATTCACATTTTCAATATGCGTGTTTTTTTAAAGCGCTTGATGACGATCCGCTTCTTTGTGATCAAGCCAAGTGAGTTTTTTCTTCATCTACGACTTTAAAAGTTAATAAAGAGAATCTGAAATGTTCCAGTCTTTGAAAGAATAATGAGAAGTATTAGATAAAAAAACAACAACAACAATTATTTATTCTCCAGTGTCTGTACGAGCAGATATCGTTTGGCTTTGATAAAACTCATTTTATTGTCCTTCTGCTGCAGGAGTACAAAGGAATCTCCAAACACTTTAATTGGTGTGAAAAACAAAAATAGTAGTACACATCAGAAAAACAAAAACCCAGAACAAAACAAAAAGAAACAATGACGAGAAAAGAAAAATTAGTAAGATTACATCTGCCGCCTGAACAGTATAATTCTAAATATGAACATTTCCATAAATATACCTGTTTGTACACAATGATTTTCTTCATAAAGTGGCTTTCGTCGTTACCTACCGCTAATCTACGACTAATCGTTGCGATTATGCAGGTATTATCAGAAGCTACTTTGTGGATCTTTATATTTACACACGCAGTATGTAACTGATCAACCTGCTTCATATAAAAGGTTTTCTATACTTCATCCACCCTGAAATCAAAGCTAATCTCTATTTGCTTCCCGACAGCAGCAAAACAAGGCTCTATGGGCAGTTAGCTTACTGGATTAACTCCGCAGTTTGTAAGAGCCTCTTCCTTAAGTGGAAGACGCATCATGTGATACAACAGCCTAGATTGCATTTTCCAAACGTGTACTGAAGGCAATGAGCTGCATTTGGATGATATAAAAAGAAGTTAAAGAATTTTTAAAAAGATAATTGATAATTAACTGTGACAAAAGAAGAAGTAAATCTAATAAAATTAAAATAAAGGCAAATAATTCAAAAGACATCTGTCAATCATGGTCCATGTGAAAAATTAGAGTTAGGAGTCGATGAAAGGGAGGTGCAGGGTAACCGGAATAAAACATTTCCACAGCAAAACTGAATTTCCATAAAATTTGAACCCCTTCCCCCCCGAAAAAACCCTTTCCATTGTCAACAGCAAAGCTTCCTGCTACATGATCGGAAGCTTAACATTTCCAAAAACAAAACTCACCCAGAGGTGGTGTTTTCAGTTATGACGGCCCCTATCAATGTGTTACATTGAAGCTACCTTGTGCAACCGACTATCAATAATAAACAACATGAGCAGGACCAGCAGTCCTAGTACCGTGCCAGGTTGGCAGAAGCAGCCTTCAGAGATTTAAGGACACTTAATAATGAATGAATACCTCTGGTTCTAGGCCGAGATGAACAAATATCTCATTACGTATTGTCATCATCTCATCACCAAAGACTACGCCTGCCTTCTATCCTTATATTCATAACACTACATATAATTTAGCTTAGTTTTTACGTGCAAATACACAAAAATCTGGCGCAATCAGACAGTCCACTGGGTGGTGGCACGCATACACCGATCAGCCACAACATTAAACCATCCAAAAAGACCGAAACAGTTTCGCAAAGCTGCTCAGATGAACAGCTCTGACTGGCTGAGGGATGGAGCGAGTGGTTTCGGGTCAGTGCAGCGGATCCTTCGGGTCCTGTAGGGTTGTGAGTTTAGGGCGGAGGGGTGGCCCCCGACTATGAGGCTTGTTCTGGTGGCAGATCACATTGGAATCTGGGTGTCTGGGCTCTTTTCCAAGTTCTTCATGCTGTTCCTGAGCAGTATTTGTGGTGGCTTCTGGGAGGAGACGCTGGGGAGTGAGGGCGGTGTGCTTGCATGGTTGGTGTGTGTAAAAAACAAACAAACAAAAAAGAAAAACAGAGGTTTCCCGGCAGAACATGGATGATGAATGTTACTCACGTCACGTGAGAGTGGTTTAAATGTACTAAATCCTGCTAGCTTTGTTAAGGAGCAGCTCAACATTTTGGAAAACACTTGCTTTCTGACAGCGTTCGACCACTTTCATGTCTGTCTGTTAAAAATAAAGACAGCCCTGATGTGGAAACTATTGGCTTCGTCTAGCAGTAACAAAATCAGCCAAGGAGCACTTGTACTGCTCTCTGATGGTGTGTATGAAGGTAAAAAGCGTCAATATGCCAGACTCTTCTTTAACGGACGGAGCTAATTACCTATGAGTGCGTGGATCCCAGGAAAGTGTGTGCTGGTCGGCTGATTTTGTGACCTGTTTTTTGTTCTAAGCCACCCAGCAGCTCGCTGAAGGCTCATATGTAAGTGGACAAACACGAGAGTAGTCTAAAACTGTCGCGTAAGGTCTGTATCAGAAAACAAATGAAAGAATCTCCCAAATATGTTAAGCCGCTGCTTTAAATTCATGAACCATGTTTATTTGTACCATAGTTATGAATCCTGCGTTCATTTCAATTTCAGCTGGGTTACAGAAAGGTGCCTAAAACGAAACACAGCAGCAACATAACACTAAGAGGCTGTGAAGCGTCCTGATCCTCTGCTACTCCAACCAAGCTGGTTTATCTGGAGCACCAGAACTGGATATAATGTGCTTTGAACGTCCACCGACTGTTCCGCTTTGTGCCGAAGGCTCTGAAACCTCTAAGTGATCACCTGAATGCTTCCAGAAGAGCTTTTGCCATCATCACAACTGATTTCCTAATACAAACTAAAACGTATCTTGTATAAGTGAAACAATGCTGCAGGTTTAGACTTCACACCTGCTCCTACAGCTTTCACTTCCTGTGCAAAAAGTGCTCTCCATGTGTTGTTGGTGGAGACAGAGATGGCAGTTTGTTTTGTGCAGAGTCTCCAGCTGCTTATTTTGTCTCTCCTTCAGCTGATTCGGACTGAAGGTGTCCCGCGCACATTAGCCTGCATTTGCCTTTCTCTACATTTTAAAACACTTGTAAAAGCTCCTGTGTTTGGTTAGCTTTAAAGTCAAATTTGGATTCAGGTGGATCACAACAGGTGATACAGCACGGTCACGCCCGATCGACCGGCGAGCGCTCCCTTCTGTGAAAGCCTATAAATCCTAGAAATGAATCAGTTGCCATTCTTCCAATCACGTATGACGCGCACTTCACAAATCGTGCCTCTGCTCACATAAACTGTTTTAATGCCACACTTTTCTGTCTATATGAAGAATTTCACATCGTTCTTGAGGTTGCCGTGGTTGTTGTTCGTAACGCTGAAGCGGTTCGGGAGGATCCTCATCTTCATGGTACCGTCGGCGCCGCAGGAGAAGATGTAGTTAGCTGGTCCCACTTCGAGCTGCATCACACCTGTGCCGAGGTTCCTGAACAGCGACTGGCGAGCGTGTTCGTTGGGAAAGGTGTAAAGGAGGCTATGCGTGTTCAGGCTCCAAACCTGGAGGAAGCAGGGAAGATTTGAAAAATCAGAAAAAGGACAGTTTAATGGAGTTAATTTCAGTCAAAGTGAGAATGCATCTCTATAAAAACACCTATAAACAGGACCAAACCTGAATGAATTGAACCTGCTAAGAAACCTGATAAATTCTATCAGATGCTCTAACTCCAAGATGAAAAAGTCACAAACTGCTTCTTAATTTGATGATTGTGCTGAATTCTTTGCTTTCTACAAGTAACTGTGTTACTTGTGTGTTAAGTGTGCAACACACTCAACCATCGAACAATCGTGTTCTGACTCAGACTGGAATCAGTCTCAGACAAACTGGTGAAGGTTCCAATTTAGAAATGACAATTCCAGCATGTTTAAATTCATGTGAATCAGTCCGGATCAATGAGCGCAACTTGTCTGCGACGTGTCTCAATGTGCAGTAGGAGATTCAACTCAACTGGTTGCCAACTGATTGCATCCTTGTTTATATTCCTGTATAAAAGCAAGGTTACTAAGCAACTATGTCCTATGACTTACAGTTAATAACCATCCTGCAGCAACTGGGTCACTGTTTGCAGATGATTTTTTGAATTTCTGTTTCAAAATGTATATAATTGCCAGCTTCTGTTTTATTGCCATCTTGATGCATGAAAGTTGCTCCAAAGAATGCAACTGACTGCAAGTGGCTGCAGACCTGGTCCAAGCCTTCAAAACTACTATTTCAAAAGCAAGTTCACAGCAAACCGTCCTAATAATCTTTGCAGTGCCAGGGTCTCATCACGGTTATGATTATTATTGTGATGTTGGACCCCCCCTCCCCCCCCTCTCATCCCTTTGTAGCTATAGTCACTAATGTAGTTTAAACTTAAGTTTGAACTAGATACCACTAAGAGCACATTTGAGATTAATTTGGTACCTTTTATTCTGTCATGGCTACAACTCGCTGTTGACATTTCATTGTTTCATGCATTCTTACTTTGGGACTGCCCCTTTAAGCCTGTATTTAAGAATTATTTCTTCATTGAAAACAACATCGGTCAGGTTTGGGTGCTACTGTAGCAGAAAGTATTGTGACCTCTTTACCAGAAAAACCAGAAATGCATGGCTGAGTTTCCACTGAAGACCTCAATAGGCTCTGAACAACTTGGATCATTTGACTCGTATCCTCAGTCTGGGAGCTGCATGATTCATTAAGGTATCTAATTTATTGAAGTTCCAGCTCTCATCAAACACTTTAATTGTATACTGACTGACTGCAAACTGAAAACGGTTGTGCTGCACATTTCTAAGCTTTTAAAGACTTCAGATGAGTAACCTCACACACAGCTTTGAAAGGGTTTTTTTTTTCTGAGCAATTATCCAGAGTGAAAGTCATTTGAATTTCAAGCAGATGTGCACTGCACCATTCTACATCTGAGCGACACAGGGGCTTCATCCTTGGAGTGACAGCTGTGTGATCTGCAGCAGCATATCCAAGTCAAAAAGATAAAAAAGACCTGCTGTCTCTGGTAATATATTAGCTGCAGACATTCACATCCTCCTCCTACTGCCTTCTCCTCTGCCTTTCCCACTGTCAACCCACTTTCACCTTACATGTTAGTCTCCATCAGTTACACAGCTGTCCCGAGCAGGTGGTTAATCTCAAGTGACAATGGATTTCTTTTGCTTTGCTGGAGCTCACCGTCTCCACCGATAAACGCAACAGAGCCATACACGTCTGGGTGCCAAACGCCCTGGAGGACAGTTCTGCCGGGGACGAGTTTACGAGGGTAGAGGAAATGATCAAGTCTCTTCATATAGATTTTTAGGATCACTGTACCCAGCGAAGCCCATGTAAAACTAAAGACCTTCGAGAAGAAACTCGAAGAGCATTTATATCACAGCAAACTGTCTGCTTCCCACTTGCAAACAAATTAACAAGTGCTGCACACCTGAAAAGAAATGCCACTCAGAAACATTTTATCACACATCAAATGTCAAAAAGACTAGTTGACATACCTTAATGTTGCCCTCAGCTGATCCACTGATAAAGCAATCCTCAGTTGGATCGACGGCTAGTGCTTTGACCGGCGAGTCATGGGCCTGGAAGCTCTGCCGCTGGTGCTTGTGGGAAAGCTCCAGCACGCTGATCCAGCCCTTCCTCCCGCCTGTGATAAGCAGCTGCTGCCTGGGGGCCATAGAGAGCACGGTGGCACCGGACTCGTGGCAGCTGAAAGCTAAGGATAGAGAGAGGTAGACAGAAGAGAAAAATGTCAATCATAGTTCTTAAATGTTTTTCACCATTTGATTTAATTTGTTTTCAAACTTTCTTTCCAACACCAAAAGGTATTTATTACAGAACAGCGGCTCTGAATGTGGGGACACTGGCAATCTCCAGGAATCTGTGAGCCATAACCAAGGAGCCTGCAAGGCATCCTCCATTAATTTAATATCTTGTCCTTTTCCCTGCTGTCATAGGGGGAGAAAACTCTGAATAGTCCACCAGTCCATCACAGGGCTAACACACAGGGCTAATCACTCATGCTCACATTCACAAGTACTGCCAATTTAGAAAGACCAATTAGTCTTGCATGTCTTTGGACTGTTGGAGAAAGCTGGAGTAACTGGAGAAAATCCATTGAAGCATGTGATTAACCATGCCAAAGACACTACTAAATAGGCTAATTAGGTGCAGTATCTTACCTTGCACAAGGCTGTTAGCAGGAGTCACTAGTGTGTCCCACAGACACACATTCCTGTGGAGTCAAAAATAACCAAATTACAACATTTTCATTACAGAACATATCATTAGACACAGCAGATTCAGTGTTTAATGAGAGGTGGCATAGGATTAAATTGACTGGAAAGTCTGTGGGACCTGTTGTCTGTTGAAAGACCCGCAGTGGCGATGAGGGAGGAAGAGCCCACAAAGAGAAAGTCATTAGCTGTCTTGTTGTGGCACTGCAGAGTCTGGTAGCGGGAAACAGAGAAGTGACAGTGACATTAATAATAAAGCAGGACAAGAGTAAACAAAAAGAAGTGTGACAGAAAAACAGGAGGACACTCGAGGGATATAGAAGAAAAATCAGCTAAATGAGCTGCGAGCATCTCACCAGGTATGGTTTCGGTGTAGTCCCGCTTGTGTTGGTCTGCCAGAGACTCAAGGCTCCATCAGCATCCACAATCCCAAACTACAGAAAACAAGCACAAAGCAGATATAACACTTTGCTGTAAATAGGATAGAATGATCCCTTATATTGCATTTGACATATATATTAAAAAATGTTTGTGCTCACTCCCTCACTGTGAATTTGTCCTCCAAAACATGTCAACAGCCTCATACGGCCAAGCACCACTTACATAACTAAAGTGCTTTCTATATCCTCTCATTCCTTTTTGCCCTCTTAAAGCGTATTTTGCGCTCTGGGCTGCATCAAGCAGGTAGGATAGCGCTGGCACGATAGAGGCACCATATGAGAAAATTATTAGCTTGAGGCGAGTGCCTCAGTTCAGAGTGTTTGAATCACTGAGCTGAAGAACAATGCGTGCTGAAGCCAACCTCCCCGCTGTGGTCCGTGCCTGAACGGCAGAGGAAGTGTGAAAACGTTTCTGAATGTGACAGGCTCACATCACTCTGCAGTCATGTTGCAAAGCTAAGAATAGCCTGACATCTGTATGGCGGTAGTCAGCAGGCCAATGTGTTCACTATCCTGGTACACAGAGCAGGAGGGGTGTGAGAGTTTGTAACCTTGTTTCCTTGATGGTTGAATCGTATCCTGGTGACTCTGGAGTTGCCTGGACTTCGGAAGCAGATGATCTGCTGGGAGTGACCCCATTCAAACATCCTCACGCTACCATCCTGAGCTCCTGTCAGGTCTGATGAACAGAAACAAAACCGCACGTGACAACAGCTCATCTTCCAATACATCCCAGTGACCATTCAGACCTCAACAGGAGGGTTTTGGCCCTTCTTTGTTCCCAAATTCATCTACTACATAAGTGAAGACCAGGTTAAATTCAATGAAAGCCGTTTTCATCCCAGACAAACACTCCTCAGCTGCATCACCAGTCTGCAGTTTGACTGGAAAATACAAGTTTACAGCAAAGTGAGCGCACTCAGCCTTTTCTAAATCAATAGCAGCACTGGGACTAATGGAAAACAGCTCTGCCAGTATACGAATATCAACATAAGAGAAACTTTTTTTTGGGGATGTGATCACCCCCTGAAGGCTGTTTTTCAACAGCAGATATATGATGTCTGAATACCACTTTTAATAGGCGAATAGTTTTCTAATCTACTGACAGACATCGGAGTTGTACTTACAGTACGGCAGTGTGGGATGGGAGGTCATTCTTCGCACATTGTTGATATTTCTCTTGATCATCTGGGAGAAGAAAAGTGAAGAGGAGGAGGAGGAGAAATTCAGTGAGAAAACAGAACTTCATCATGGTAAAGAATAAATCTTTAAAACCGGGTGAAGTGCAGAGAGATGTAGTGAAACAGTGTTATGCTGTTTTAAAGCCCCTTTTACACAAAATACACGTTTCCTGACGGTGTCACAGGACTTGAAGGAATGATTTTTAAATTCCTTCTCACATGGCTCCCTCACACGTGCTTCATTCAAAAATAACATGATGTAGATTCTGATGATTAACTTTAATGTGACCCCTTTAATCATGATCATCAAAAGCAAGAAAGGTGCTTACTCCTGCTTCCAGTGAATCCACTGACAACCTATCATTTTCTCGTTAAAGTAAATTCTGTCTAAAAGGCAGACACTAAGTCTAACTTAATGTCTTCACATGCTGTAGGTGAGGCATTTTAATTGATATTCAATATTTTGTTCATGCAGCTGACGGATAAATTAAAAATACTGGCATCAAATACTGGAGGGTTGGCCAACTGCCATTAGCCAACCCTCAGCCTCCCAGTCAACATACCTATGGTATTATTTTGAAAATCCTACGTTACCTTGTTTTCAAATGACTACATTCACAAACTTAGGTGTCCACGTTGCCCGCACGCCCAGGGGGGTGAGGACAATACCCCATCAGCCTTTTGCCACTTTGCTTCCCTCCTGTTTGACGCTCTCTTTCAGGGGTAATTAATTTGTAACTCCATATTTGTTCTTGCACTCAGAAATAATCAGTTTTTTAAAAAAAGATAATAAAATAAAGGAGGATTTTGAGCTGTTTTATGGTGCATTCCATTTTCACTCCTCTCCTTTAAGGCCACTGTTTCTTCTGATTGGCTGCCCCTCATAAACTTTAGCATTTACATGCTCAGTTTTGGCTTGCAGAAACTGATGTTCATACAGTAAACCCATTATTTGAAACTTCTGGCATGTGTAATATGAGAGTTAATGAATAACTGTAGGAGTACACTAGGGCAGTGCCATATCTTACCATCCTCATCTGGTATATATTTTTACACAATTAAATATTCCTTAGCGTTCACACAGAGCTAATCACTTCTGTCTCTAAGAAAAAGTTGCCAGATCTGGTGCCCAAAACCATTGGGTGACATCACATTGACTACATCCTTCATTTAAGCAAAGACTGAGGACATAGTTCACATTAGTCAACAGAGCCCATCCTAGTATTTACTGTATTTCATCATCGGATACCAAACTGATACAAGCATTAGAGTTTTCGTGTGCCAATTTGTTAGCTAATAATAAACCCTGCTTTGAAGTTAAAGAATAAATACAAGGCTGTTCTATTATAATGATAGGAGGAAAAACCTACTGAGCCTCAGTATATCAGAGTGAAAATATGCAACATGACTGTTGGCTGAGAGAGGCTGAAATTAATGGCAATGCATTTTCTATCGAGGATTTCATTTATCATTCATCTCAAAATATACTCCACTCCGACACTGAACAAACTGACTGGTTGGTAAAATACTTACGATGCAAAGTGGCTCTTACTGTCCAGTCTGCATATCAGGAGCAATAAGTTAACTAGCTGAAATAACAAACAAGACTCACATCTACTTGACTCCACATTGACACCACAAGAACCAAATTATCTCCCTTTTGCTAAAGCAAACCTTCTCCGCTCGGTAGAAATTAGCACAGTTTTCCACAAAAACAGCAGAAACGTTTGATTCATACATCTCACAACACCATCTCAGTTCCTCAGTAAGCCAATGACAGGAGCTAATGTTAGCAGCCGCAACGCTTTTGGCAAAATAGACAGAGACAAAAATGAATTATTTATTTAAGCTATGCTTTGAGGATTTTATCTTTGAGTACAAAAAGTGCAGACAACATCAATTAATTACACAAAAGCAGCAGGGAGTATTATAAACCCATTATCACTGCGTAGTGAATGAAAGCTCATGGAACCAAACTGTGAAAAACTGTGCTTGATATTACATCTGATCGTTTCCAAACAGCAAAACAACAAAAATCTGCAAAAATCTATTTGTTTAGATAATCCGACATTCAG